GCCGTCCAAAGACAGCGGGACAGGGGGCAGGTGAGGCTGCAAGCTGGTGTCTCACAAAGTGGATGGAGCTGTGCGCCTGAGTGAGATCCAAGGTGCTGGGGTTGACAGGGCCCCCCAGGAGGGGCCAGTACAAAGGCCTGGGGTGGCCATGCCCTCTCACTGGACTGTGGCCAGCCAAGATCCAAAGACTGACTCGAAGCAGGAGCTGGTGGCAAGGGGCCTGGCTGCCTGCCTGCTGGGGGTGGAGTTGCCCCTGTCAGAGTGGGGGGTGGGATAGCAGGTGCTGCTTCTCACAGCCCTGCCTGACGGCTCAGAAACCCACAACACATCTGTGCTCCTCGGTCACCGACAGATGGGCCCTGGCCTCATATTTTTGGATTCGGTTAGTATCAGGGGGCCAACGTGAACCTACATAGAGCGCAGGTGTGGGCACAAACACCTCTCTGGGTGGGAGACACAGACCAGCAGAGGAGAGGGGCTGGGGGTTCCTGAAGGAGCGGGGGCAGGGCTGCTGTGAGCACCTTGGGTGGGCCAGGGTCGGAAGCGGCAGAGAGGCGCCCATCACTGGGACCCCTTGGTCTAGCAGTGATAATGGCCAGCCAGGCTGGGCCCTACAGATAAAATTCAGGAAAGTGGGATGGGGCCAGATGGCAGGAGCCATAGCTGAGGCTGCTGCGTGCCACTGCCAGAGACAGGAAAACCCCACCCAGGGGCCCAGACTCTCCAGGGCCACCTTGGGGTCCCGCCAGGGCAAGTTCCCAGGAACCAAGATAACGTGTGGCTGTGGATATGGACGGGCTGCCTCCCACTGCCTCAGTGGAGTGACCCAGAGGGGCCCAGGGGCCAGCAGCCCCTGCCCAGGTGTGACAGAGGACAGAGCCCTTGTCCAGGGACCACTGCCTGCAAGGCTGACACAGGAGCTCCAGCTTTAGGCAGAAACATCAGCAAGTGGTGGTCCAGGAGGAACTCCCGGGGAGAAGGGGACCAGGTCCGTGTGATCAGCGTGGGGACTTCAAAACCCCAAAGCCCCAGCAGAGGTGCAACAGCCAGAACACCTTGGCCCAGGCAGTGGCAGTGGCAGCCGAAAGACCCTGGACTTGTAGATGGTGACACACATAGCTTTAAAAAATGAAATAAAAATAAAAACCATTTTTTATTTATCTTGGACACACGCCAGCTGAAATCACTCACAGTGACATTATCAGTCCACTGAGACCACTCCACCAATACCACTCCACTGGGGCCACTCCACCGGGGCCACTCCACCGGGGCCACTCCACTAAGACCACTCCACCGAGACCACTCCACTGAGGCCACTCCACCAGGGCCACTCCATCAAGACCACTCCATCAAGACCACTCCACCAATACCACTCCACCGGGGCCACTCCATCGAGACCACTCCACTGAGACCACTCCACTGAGGCCACTCCACTGGGGCCACTCCACCGGGGCCACTCCACCGAGACCACTCCACCGGGGCCACTCCACCGGGGCCACTCCACCGGGGCCACTCCACCGAGACCACTCCACCGGGGCCACTCCACCAAGGCCACTCCACTGAGGCCACTCCACCAAGACCACTCCATCGAGGCCACTCCATCGGGGCCACTACACTGAGGCCACTCCATCAAGGCCACTCCACTGGGGCCACTGAGAGTAGCAATCATATTCACATGGAGGTTATGTGTACCTGGGCTCTTGTAGCCACCTGAATGACCATGATTTCATCTGGGAAATTCCTGGCTCTTCTCTCTCCCTACAATGTCCTTATCCCCTGAGCCTGGGTGGTTCTGTAAGCCACCAGTGCCCGCTTATCCCTAAGGGAACTTGTGGGTGGGTAGAGGAGGCCTGACAGGAACTTGCTGTGGACTTGGTCTGTACCTGCTATCCAGGGTAGGGGCCACCAGTGACCCCAGCAGGGCCTCCCCGTGCAGCCTGGGGCCCTGATGCTGCACATGGCAGGTGCCAGCTGCTGCCATTTTCCTGGTGGAGATGGTGCTGCTTACTGGGAAAATCTACCTCAGTCTCTGGGTTCCGTGGGCAGAACATTTCAGAACACCTTAAATGGGGTGGTGGGATCCAGGGCATGATCCTCCAAGGTGATGTGGCCTCCCTGCCTTTGGCTGGATTGAGCAGCACAGGGAAGCCCATGCTGAAATGGGCGGGAGGGGCCTCCAGCACCTGCAGACAGGCCCACGGGCAGACCGGTGTGAAAGCCCCGGGGGCTGAGTCAGAGAGAAACTGGCCCACCCTGCGCCCTGCACCACAGAGCTCCGCAGAGGGAAAGTGGCCTTGGGAGGGGCTTTCCCCCTCTGTAGCACCTGGGGCCTGGGGCTCCCGGGGGGGCTGGGTCACGCAGAGGTTGGCCTGCCCTCCGGGAGCCTCAGTTTCCTGTGCTGGCAGTAGGCACTCAAGCCTGGCCCTGACTGCCCAGGGCAGCTGAGGAGCAAGGACATGAGAGACCCCAGGTCCACAGCCCCCACCCCTGCCCTCCATCTGGGTGGTCTGGTGTCCAGGGGCCAACTTGTCAGACACCAAGCCTAGAGGGTCCACCATGGCGGTGGGGAGCCCCCAGTAGGCTCCTGGTGTATCCCTCTCATCTCAGGACTCTGGTCCCCAAGCTCTGGCCCTGCTCATCCAGCCAGAGGGCAGGTGGTGGCCAAGGACACACCGTGGGCTGTTTGCCCCTTGCCCACCAGCAGCTGGGCACAACCAACAGGCTGGAAAGCCCCTGCCATGCTGCCAAGGCCTCCTCAATGCCCAGAGCAGGGGGCTGGATGTGGGGGGCAGCCACCTCCGGACCGGCCCCACCCACACTTCCCAAGCACCTTACCCTTTTGCCCACTGCTCCCAGCCCAGAAAGCAGAGGCCAAAGATAATGGCTTCCTCTTGCTCAGCTGCCTGTTTCACACCCAGCCTTCTCTGGGCTGCCCTGCAACTTCCGTCCCCTGAGCTTCTGGCCAAGGCATCCCCCCCTTCATTCAGCAGCTCGGCATGAGAGGTCACAGAGCTGGTCCACCGCCACCCACCCACCCGCCCATCTATCATCCATCCATCCACCTTCCTTGCCTCAGCCACACACCTGCTTCCACCTACCCACCAGTCCACCCAGCCGGCCAGCCAGCAGCCACACCACAGGAGGAATGGGAGAGGAGGCAAAACAGAATCTCCTGCCTCAAGGACCCCACCCGGTGCCACTCGCTGTGACACCCTCCCACACCATCCCTGGAGAGTGACCAGGCTCAAGCCCTCCTGCTGGACCACAGTCCCACACATCTCCTGCCGCCTCCTGCCGCTCCCAGGAGGCAGGAACGGAGGCTGTGGGGAAGTGGGAAAGGAACAGGCAGTGGCAGGCGGCATCCCGGCCCCCTCCACCTTGTGCCCCTGCAGCCGCTTCCCCCAGCTCCTTATCTCCCGCCCCGCCCAGCTCACAAAGCCGCAATCAACGTCCCTCCGCTTCCCCACAAGCGCCAACCGCCCAGCCTCGGGGAACAACTTTCTTCTCTTCCCAGCCCCACCCTATCAGACCCACAGATCAGTGAACCAGGCTGGGCAGGCCATGTGGGCAGCTCAGGGCTCCTGGGGAAGTGTCCCATTTTGGAGGGGGCAGCTACAGCGAGGGGGAGGGGGAGCCAAGCAGGTGCAGCCTCCTGAACATCTGCTGGGGGTTGGGATGTGTTGACGCCCCCTCCCCCCACGCAGGGTCCTGTCCAGTTGCCTTCAGGACTGAGGAGGGGAGCTGTGTCTCCAGAAACCTCTCCCAGTCCTGGCTGTGAGGCTACAAGGCAGCCCTGCCCTGCCCCTGGGGGCCTTCTCCCCAGGCCCACAAGGATCACGAGGGAGGAGGAAGCCCCGAAATGGCTGTGGGGAAAGCAGGAACACGGGGTGACCCTGGCTGACCAGGCATTCATCGTCAAGAGAATTCCTCTACACTGGCAGTGGGGGGAGTGCAGCCAGGCAGGGTCCTTCCCGGCACAGGTGATCTGAACTCAGGGCTGACCCTTGCCAAACTCACCCTGACCCAGAGGGACCCCCATCTTCTGGGGAGGGGGTGCGCTGCGCCGAGAGCTGCCTGAGTCTTTGGGGTGACTTTCAGAGTAAACCAGGCAAGACCCAGAGGCACAGCTGTCCACAGCTCCAGATCCCTGGCCTGGTCAGGGCCTGTGCCTCTGGCCACAACTCATCCCCAGAGAGTCCAGGAAGCTGCCAGCACCTCCCCTGCTCGTGCATCCGCTGGCCGTGCCCTTGGCCTCCCATGGCACGGGTGTCCTCTGGTCAGAGCCTTCTCTTGTGGCGTCTACAGTGTCTCATTAGCTATTTGTGGGTATCCCCAGAACCCTGTCCTGCCCTGAGGAAGCATTTGTATTCCCTCAGACTGACAGGGGGCAGACCTATCCCTTGCTCTACAAAAGTCCCAGGCTCCTGAGCAGGGTGGCCCAGCTATGTAGCAGTAGGCCTGGTAGCCTGGGGTATCCAATACAGGTAGCCAGTAGTCGCTGGAAGGCCCCTGGCCAGCTAGCCCAGTGGCACACGTTACACTTGCCCGGGCCTGAAGCCCCTGGATCCAGAGGCAGGGAGACCCCTGCAGAGTCCTAGGCAGGGGTGGGGGCTACACTCTGATGTCCACATGACGGCTAGCAATTGAGACAGAGCCTGGCTGTGAAAAGGACAGATTCCCAGACCAAACAGGCTGGAAGAAGCACCACGCCCTGGTGGGTGGTCAGGCAGACCAGAGTGGACCATGCCCCTGGCGCCGCCCACCTGCCCCAGGGTCCAGGAGCTGACTTGGAGCGGCTTTGCCCAGGCCAGGCAGGAGGAAGTTGTTGGGAAGCTGGTGCAAGGCAGCGGGGAGCCAGGCAGGGCAGGGCCCCAGATGGTTCCTGTCGGGGAAGTCGCGGGTGCAGCTGCAGCCCCCAGCCCCCGCCACCCTATCGCGGCGACACAGCTGGCTGCCTCGCCCCTGCAGGCCCAGGGCGACTTCCCCACCCACCCCATCACATGAGCTCCCGTGGCCGCCCGCCCCTTCCCCAGGGCCGGCTGCCCAGGTCTGCAGGCAGCAGCATCAGGAAGGGCCTGGAGCCTTGTGGGGGCTCTGAAGCACCCCAGCCGGCCCTGGTCCTGTACTGCTCCTCCAGGCCTCAGAGGCCACAGGCATCCCGGCTGTGGGACAGACAGCCAGGACGGTCTTGGGCTCCCACTCCGGCTCCATGTCCAGGGTACCCTCTCCAGGGCTCCTGGAGTCCACTGGCTGCTCGGAGCCTGCAGGTCCCAGGAAGGGCGGCCCAGGTAAGGCTGGGGGTGGGAACGTGTCGTTGCTGAGCCACCAGCTGCCCCACATCCGACAGCAATCCTGTTGACTCACCTCACAGCTCAGCAGGGCCTCCCTGGGGGGACTGTCCCTTGCAGCTGAGGCAGGTGGCATGATAAGGCTGGCAGGTGCCGGGCTGGCATTTTGACCCTGCCTGAGGCAGATGCTAGCGGCATGGACAGTTAGGGGGTGTTGTGGTGTGTGTGGAGAGGGCGCAGGGCAGGGCTTCTGGACAGCGTGGATGGGGAAACTGAGGACCGAGGAGGGGGTGCTGGTCCAGGCCCCTGTCCACGACGGACCCCTGCCAAGGCAGCAGGTGGGGGCCATAGGAAGCCTGAATGCTCAGCTTCCCCATGGCCAGGGCCTTCCCATGACATCCCCAACCCACGTGGCAAGGGCCTCATCAAGGACTCCAGGATGTCAGAGCTACAGGTCACCCGTCCCGCTGCCCAGCCCACGCTCCAGTCTGCCCACAGCCTCTGGGGCCCATGGCAGCCTCCAGCTGGAAGCTTGGCCACATGGGATCTGCTGTGCCTCTGGCTCACGTCAGCATGGGGCCTGGGCATCATTTCTGGCTCTGCGTGGAGACCATTTCTCTGAGAAATCCCACGTCAGGGACTAGGGAAGGCTGGCCAGGAGGGGTCAGCAGCTTGCCTTGCCTCCAAAGAGACCTCAGTCTCCCCAGCTGTCAGAAACCTGCTGCTCCCAGCAGACATGGCGGCTGCACCCAACCTGGGTACGAGCAGCCCGCTGGGGCTACCAGTCTGCCAGGGCGGGGGTGGCCGTGGAAGCCTCAGGTCAGGGAGTGGCATGGGCTGGGCCGTGTGTGAGGTTGACAGAGATGGGTAGCCGTGATCTGGCCGGCCTTTCGGCTTCGCTCAGGAGCCGCGGGCGCTTGGAGCTGGGGTGTGGCTGGAGCTGAGGGAGGTCCTCTCCCCAGCCACCAGCTCTGCCCGGGCACTCAGGGTGGCCACAGCCACACCAGGTTGCGTGGACTCTCAGTTGGATGTGCAATTGTGGAAGTTACCACCAGGGGGAAGCCCAGGCAGAGCCCTTGTGGAGGGGAAGGTGAGGCCTGGGAGGGTGGGGGGTGCTGCACAAGAAGGGACTCTTGGGTGATTGTCTGGCCTGAAGACCCAGGGTGGGGGAAGGTGGCAATGTCCTCTGCCTGGAGCCTGGCTGGTGCCCCGGTCCCTCACTAGGGGCCCTGCTGGTTGCAGAGGGCACTGGCATTGTCCTGCAGTGCTGTCCTTGGCATACAAGGAAGTGTGGGCCATGTGGACTAAGCAGCCGCCTGCTGCATGGGAAGGTGGGGGAGCTGGGCAGACACGGCCAGGCCAGGAGGAGGCTGAGGGTCAGGGTGTGAACCGCCTGCCCCAGCTGGCTCAGCAGTGCCCCTCCCCCTCCAGGGGACTGCGGGCTTCTGCAGGCAGGAGCTGGGCTCAGCACCCAGAGGGCATGGGACAGCGTGGTGCTGCCCCCTCTGCTGGGTGGGGGTAAGGAAGGAGCTTCTCACAGCCTCACCCTGGCGTGGTGACCAGGAAGTGGCACTGTTCTTCCCTGTCCCCTGCCCAGCCCCACACTTTACACAGTTCTGTAGGGCTGGGGGCAGTGGTCCAGGCTCCTTCCCGCCTGGACGAGCCGGGGTGGGGTCAGGGTCACAAGTCAGAGGCCAAGACACCACACTGTGCAGGCAAGAAATAAGGTTCCCAGCACCCCTCCCTGAGCCCAGACAGGTCAGTGAGGCAGGCCCAGGTCTGTGCTCTCCAAGGGGACTGCATCCCCGCTGTGGGCCAGCTCAGCCCCTCCTCTGACCCTGCCAGCCATACGCTCCACACCAAGGCTCCTCACCCAAGCCCCCCAGCGACAGAGGGGACCCCCACGGCGTGCAGCCTGGGACTCTTCTCCCCCGACATGCTCTAGGGGCTGCCCCAGGGTCTCCCGTGGAGGGAGGGCTACCAGGGCGGCAGACAACACAGCTGGGCTGGGAGGTCGGGGCTTCCTGTCGGAAACCGAAAGGACCAGGTGCTTTCCGCACTCCCCCCGCCCCCGGGATCCAGGGGCAGCTGGCAGTCCGGCCTCCCTCCCTGCTGTCCCAACCACCGCGGGCAGCTGTAGAGCATTCCAGCCTGGCTCTGAGCCCTGCTGAGCTCAGCCGGGAGGGAGTAGAGGGTCCTGCCTCCTCAGTCATGGTGATCCAGACCCAGACAGGGGCAGGAATTCTAGAACATGTGTGGGCAGGGAGCACTGCCCAGCCAGGACACATGTGTGCAGGGCATCCTGAGATGATTGGACTCCCCAGGGGGCCCCCACCAGAGACTGGGATGCTCAGTGCATGGATGGTCCCACCTCCCCATCGTGGCACTGCCTGTCCTTGACGGTCACTGTGCACGTGGACATAGGGTCAGGGGCTTTGGGAGTCAAGCAGCTTCTGCCCAGCCTCAGTATGCTTCTCTGTGAAATGGGAGGGCAGCAGCTCCCACGGGCCCTGCGTTCGCCCCTCCACATGCCCTGCACCAGCCAGGCCTCAGGGTTCCCAGGTGGACAAGGTGTACAGGTATGAATGACATGGGTCAGGTGCCTCCCCTGCCTTGTCCCAGCCCAGGTTCCCTTCCCTGCTGTGCTAGCCCCTCAAGGCTTGCTCCCAGACAACAGTCAATCGCTGGGGACTGGAGTGGCCGCCAGGTACACTCCCTGGCCTGGGGCCTTGCCCAGGGACCAAACAGTTGGTCAGGCAGTATTCCCAAAAGCCTCTGGGTCAGGGTGGGACCCCTCCCACAGCTCACATGGGCCAGAGCCAGTACAAGGGTTCAGCAGGGTGGCTCCAGTGGCTTCCACTCCCAGGAGAGGGGGCAGGAGAAGGGATGGGCGCGGAGCAGCCACGGACATCCGCAGGGCCAGGTGCCTCCACCAGCTTTGGCCTCTCGCCTGCAGGTGGCTTGGACAGCTCCTCCCCTCCTCACCACTTTCCCTGGCCCAGCCACGAAGCCAGTGGTTCTGCAGTCAGATTACCTGGGAACTATGGTGTGACCCACAGAGTCTGTCAGGGGCCAGGGGAGTGTGGGCAGATCCTGCTGAGGAGAGGGGAGCCTTTATGGTAGGGAAGAGCTGCAGCCCAGCCCAGCGTGGGTCCCTGGGTCACAGGACAGGCAGGTGTACAGGTGTGTGTGATGTGCATCATGGGACTGGCAGGTGCACAGGTGTGTGTGCCAGGTGGCAGGTGCACAGGAAACGCTGGCCAGGAAAGTGGGGGCAGTGGGGCTAGTGGAGCTTGGGGTCAGTGAGGTTTGTCCCTGAACACAGCCAGTGTGGACAGACCTGGGAGCGACCCCAGTGAGGAGCCAGACCAGGAACAGAGATGTGATGGAGCAGGGGCAGGGCCTAGCACAGGGGTGGGACCGGCTCTGTCCCCTACCCCACTGTCCATGTGTGCACAGCCAGCAGGCCCCAGAAACAGGAAGGTCAGAGGCCATTGCCCACCGTGGTTCGGAGGGGCCCCGCCCCCAGGGAATACTTCCCCCTTCCCACCCTTGCGTCTGGCCGCAGCTTCTCCCTGGCAGCCTGGGGCGTGGTCATTCTGTGTCCTCTCTGCCCACACCCTGCAGCCCACCTGTGTCCCCTCTGCCAGGAGACACTGACCCTGTGGCCCAGGGCTGGCAGGGACTGGTGCCCTCCCTAGGGTCCTTGTTCTGTGGCGTGAACGGGCCTCGCCCTCCACACCAAGATGGAGTCAGGGTTGCCCTGAATCCTTGTGGCAGGTCCAGGGCCGGGACACCCTAACATTGGCCTCCTCAGGCTATGGGGCGTCTATAGTCCCTGTGACCTCTGACCCAGTCTGTACCCTGTGAGTTCTGCTGCAGTCATGGTCCTGGCTGCCTTCCAGCCCCGACAGAGCACTGGACAGCAGCGTCCAGCTGTTCTGCCTAGGAGTCCAACCACGGAAGCTTGAAGCCTTCTGCCGAAGCCAAGGCCCCAAGACGGGTGGGGGAGTGCGCCACTGCAGGCATCTTCCCGGGAGCCACTTTGGCCACCAACTCTGGGGAAGGTGACGCATAGTGGACTTCAGGCTGTCGGGGCTCAGGCTTCCACATGGCAGTGACCTCACGGTGAACAGGATGGCAGGGCGGACCCAGACACATGCATGCTGGGCCTTGCATTGTCCCAGGAGAGTGACTAGGTGGGGGCTGTTGGGGTGGGGTCAGGGAGTGCTGCCCAAGTTGGGGGCACTCTAGGTTCCTGTGGCGTGGCCAGCTCCCTGGCTGCTCCCAGCCTCACTGCCCACACTCGGGGCTTGGATGTTGGAGCAGCTCTGAGTCAGGGGCTGCTGGGCTCCTGGGCAGAGAGCAGTGAGTGGCTATAGGGGTCACTGGCCCAGTACTGGGTCAGCAGCAAGTCGGACAGCGACCTCTGTCATGGCCGATCTCGATTCTTGTTTTTTTTTTTAAATCAAGGATAAAACAAGATCACCAGGAGAAACTTCGAGGACACGGGTGAAAGATGGGGAGACAGCAAAAGTGTGGGTGCTTCCTGGAGTCCCTGGCCTCGGCACCCAGGTGGGCAGCCCCAGGCAGGGACTGTGTAGCAGTGTGAGGAGAGAGGCGGCCGTCTGGCCTGGAGCGTGGCTACGGGGCTGGACCTGCTGTGGAGTGAGCACTTGGCGTGTGTGGGGCCAGGGCACGCACCCCTTCTACTTCCGTCCTCAGAGCCACACCGTGGACTCACTCCCCGGAAACAGACTGCTAGATCAATGTTGAGGTTCTCAAGAATGACCCTGAAAAGCCGCAGGAGAGGCTGTTTTCAAAGGTGCGTGGGGCTCCAGGTCCCTCGCAGGATGGGGAACCCTGCCTCTGTGCTGCCCACCACACCCACAAACACTCAGTCCCCAACGCTAGGTCCTGGGGACTTCCCAGGACCCTTGGTGCAGCTCTGGGAGCTGGGGTGGATGGCTCTGCTGTTGTCATCATTTGTTCTGGGTGCC